CGGAGATAACATGCAAACTCCACCCAGAAAGGTCCCCGGCTGGGATTTGATTTGGCAACCTTCTCGCTGAGAGGTGGCTGCCCTACCAACTGCACCACCGTGCCTCCCTCATTTGTCCATATAAGTTACTAAATATCATATAAAAAATTGCCACAACCCACATAAGATAACACAAAGGTCTTCAAACAACAAAATTCCTCTGAAAATCTTTGATTATTATTATTTTTTTTTCCAATTTCGGTGTTAGTAACACAACAACTTCAGGCTAAAACAACGAGTGACATTAGAAGCTTTTATCATGTTGCTTTTTTACACTTGTTAAGGCTGTGTTAACACCAGCAATAAAAAGTAATCAGTACAGATATAAATATTACCTGAATTATGCCAATTCACGGACACACATGTGCACAATTTTTATGATTTAATCTAGATCAAACAAAACGTCTGAAAGTAAGTGTTTTTATATAAACATCGACAATTACAAAAAAAAAAAAAAAAAAAAAAAATGTTATATTGAAGAACGTGTCTCTAACGTTTTGGTGCTTTTTTTAGCGAACCCTAGTGTTCAAAGGGAGGACTACAGCAGTGCCAGTAAAATGCAGCAACAAACACTATAAATGTGTGCTTCACCCTGCTCATGTAAATCAACTACCATAATATTTCAGGAAAATAATTCAGCTTGTTTTATTTTTAGAATAAGTCCATTTTAATGGAAGCGTTTTGTAATTTTAAAGCAAAACATATTTGTGTGCATATTTTTTATCTTGTTAATAATTATTATTATTTAAAAAAAACTGACTTCTTCCTTCTTCTTCTTTCGGCTGCTCCCTTCCTCATTGGTCGCTCAGGCAAATTAACTTGCACAAAGACTTGGCAATCGTTTTTACACCAATCCGGGGCTTAATTTGGGAACTTTCATTTTGACAGGGTGCATTCCAGTAACTGTTTACTTGGATCCGGTAATTCTCAGGATTGCTAATAATAAAGTTATGAACAAATTTGATGGCCTTGAACAAATAAAACCTATATTGGATATGCAATCTGAAAATAATTACTTTGTACATAAACACTAATTTTAAACATAACAGTCACTTACGAGCTTCTTAATATCAGATGAGAGCTGCCCTTTCAAGTAAGAATTTCCGCTTCTACTCTTAAAAAAAAAAACATATATATATATATATCTCCACCCCTTAGGATGCATGAGAGAAGTGAAGGATTCTCTTTTCACACAAGGAGAGCTATTGGTGAGGCTGCTTTTTGTTGATCTCTACAATATCCTAATGCATGCTCAATACTCCAGGTAGAAAAAAATCTAACAAAGTTAAGTCAGATCCTCTGGAATGTTTTTTTTCTTTATTAACTAACACCTTTGCAAAAGAAAAACAGATTTGAAATAAACAAAACATCAACTGGACAAGAAAAGGGACTATACTAAGAAAGATGACACTGTTGCTGGTGAATCATTAGGTGCCCTATGGGTGATGAGCTCAGTAACTCATACTCCTCGGGGACCTATGCATATGAGAGGAACAGACATACCCTTTAGTCAGAAAAAGGGTCTCTCCATCTCTTTCTGTCTTCTCGTCATCCAAGTCTCTAATCTGAAACTGGACACATTACTCAGCTGACCTCTCACTGCCCACCGCACGCACAGTCAGGTCTCATTTTCCTTTACGCCAACCATAGCTTGGTTACCAACAAAAACACACAGACCACTACAGGCGCAAAAGGCTGCCCACTCTTTCTGCTTGGATGGATTCTGCAGACCAATAAGGGTGATGAGAAGGAGCTAGGCAGAGTGACTGAGAAGAAGTGAAGTGCAAAGAGAAGGAAGAAAGGAGATAAAAAAGCAAAAAGAGACAGGCAAGTTTGGTGAGATTCAAGGAGGTTAAAGACACAAAGCACACAAATAAAAAAGGGTGTTTATCTTCTAATACATCAGAGGAAAAGGCGAGTAAAACAACTGCAATCTTCACTCTTTCATTTGTGGGTCAATAACTGCCTCTGCTCCCTCTAGAGCAGAAGAACATGTACTCAGATCCTTATCGGGGCAGCTATCATCTCTGCTGCCTCGCCGAGGCAAAGATACTGTCATCCTCGCACTATCGCAGAATGACATCAGTTCAGAGACATGGGAGTAATTATATTATACAAGCCCACAACACGCTGGCAGCAAGGCATCACCAGAGATCATCACATTTTGCCATCTTCTCTCTTTCCCCTCACTCTTCTCTTTTCTGCCCTTTCTTCAGCTATTGTTCTCCTTCTTCTCCAACTTCTTTTGTTTATGGCTCCCTTTTTTTTTTTCCTGCTCATTTATTTTCTGCAGCAATGCCAGGACAGACAAGCACAGTCTCTAACCCATTCAGCCATTAGCTGTGAAGCTGGAGAGCATTCAAATTGATTATAACCACATAAATAGCTTCACTGACTTTGAACAAACCAAGTTTTAAGATACAGAAGTGATTTGTGCAGCAATTGACAGAGCAGGTGTTGGGTTGGGTGCTACCGTGGACGTGTAAAGTAGGATGCATAACCATTATGAATCTGGAGGCTGAGTCCCTGCAGGAGCATATGGGCAATTTTTCCTGTTGGATGACACACATTTATCCCCAACAGTGGGAAAGGAAGTGGTGGAGACAGGGCAAGCACATTGTCCTCCACTCAGACAATAGAAATTGCCAAATTGATGAGAATCACTTGTTATACATTACAATGTTATTTAGTTCTGTGTGCAGTAGATGCTTGAAGAAATGCACTGAGATTTGCAGTTTAGCTCACTTAAACACTTCTATTGATCTGAGCATCTTATCTATCTACTGTATAATGTGTAAGAACAGCAGGTATAGAAAAAAAAAAATCTGATAACCTAGTTATCCAGCGTATCAAGTAGGATATCCATCTCTGGGAAAGAGGACTATCACCCCTGGGAGTCTATATTTGATGAATGGCATATCTGGTACTCACAGCTGATAGTGTCTGAACCTCATTACTGCTAGCCCTAAACAAACAATGCATCACACTTCAACTCAATTTCATAAACCCTGACCATGGTGATTTTTTTCTTCTTTTCACATAAATCAATGATTATTGAGCATGCATCAGGATATACATCAATGACATACTTTTGAGTTGAATACCTGAGGAAAAAAAGGATGTTCTCACTGATATGTACATAGTAACACTCTTTATTACAACAATGTTAGTAACACGACCTAAATCAGAAGAATATCTAATATATCTACCATAGAACATCACAAGAGCACAGCAATAATAATAATTCATTATATTTATATTGGTGAACAAAAGAGCATTTTTCATGAAACAGACACTTCTAACTAATATCAGTTTCATGTTGTTAAATAACTTGAGACAATGGTGGATTCAATTAGACGATAGCAGCAAAATATAGGTGGACTTAGGTAAATATTGCAAATTTTTGTATGTATAATATTGTGACTATAACATTTTTTGAGAGACATGAAATGGAGACAAAGACAGGTCACAACATCTCAGAAGATCAAAATGCTTCATTTTTATTGTCTTGGTGCATGAAAATTATTTGCACCAAGTCAAAAAAGGCACATCCAAAGAGTACTAAATCAAACCTGATGCCTATGATTTTTAAATACGCAGTTCCTTCCCTGAGTACAAAGTATACTGAGCCATAAACTTCTAATTGCTGCAGTGAAAAGACAGCCCATGTAACTATCAACCACTGAGGAAATTAAATCTTCACAGTTCACCTAACAGCACCAAGTTTAAACAATGGAAGGCTCTGTCTTAGACCCAGGTACGCTGTTGAACAGCATGTCATCCTAATTTGCAATAATACACTCTCTGTGCTGATCAACCAAAACTGCACATGATAAAGGAGCTACAACAACTATTATGTTAAATCATAGGAACTCCCTGATCCACATGCCCTCAGGTCCTGAGAGCTCAGAGTGCAAGCAGAGTGCTGTCAACACAAGACAGGTTATGGCAGAGATGTCTAATTGCCTGTCTTGTTATCCATGTGGGCCAGCAAACCTCTACTGTCTCTTTTCATGATGGAGGGGCACTGACTCTCATGTTGGTGCAGCTAAGTCTCCCAGTCCTCTGGGAGAAGGTATTGTTTGTGATTTCATCCTGTACCTGCAAAAATATACTCAAAGTTCAAACAGCGCTCTGCAATCGAGCTGTCATTTACATTTCAACACTCAATTGTTCATTTTTTAGAGAATACATACCAATAAGCAAGAGATTTGGTGCAAACTGCCTACTCAATGGAATCCAGGGTACCTCAGCATTACGTCAGTGTAACAGTAGAATTCATTACGTCACTCAAAATGCTTGGGCAGTACTCAATTTGAAGAGTATTTGAATTCCCTATTTGTCAAACTGCCCCAAACATAAAAAATACTGTGATTAAAAACTTTTAGAGAAATCTTTTTTTTTTCTTTCTAAAACTAGTATTTTACTGAGACAACTATACTGTAGTCTACCGTAGATACTTATGTTGAGATTAAATGATTCTTCATAGATTTTTTTCTCTCTTTGTTACTGTCATGAGCCATTGTGCCTCACAGAAAATAAAAAAAAAACAGAGTCTCATCAACACTATGCACTGTAGGTAGGGGGCATATACAATTTGACACCCTGCAAGACTTCAAGCAACTCATCTTTGTCTATCCCCAACACCCAGGGGCAACATGGAGCACCACATCCTTCTAATCCAGTCTAATCTGGACACAGTGGAGCATCTGGAGATATGGATATGGCTAATCCCAGGCATGGGAAGGGAGGTGTTTAGCTGAGACAAACTATAAATAAATAAATAAACAAATAAAGCAGAGCATGGTCTAAACTCATCCCAATCAGCCATAGAAAACACTTAACCAATAATTAAATGAAGAATGAGTCAGCTTTGAATCATTGGAATTGTTTAAGGCCAAAACAAGACTGAACCTTTTAATCAAGACACAACGATGAGGACACTATAGAGAAATACTTACTGTGTCCTGCTCTTAGTGATGCAGGTGATCTGTGGATAGCAATAGGCACTACATGGTGACGCTTGTTTCCATGGGACACATGAATGTGGTGGAGACTCTCCACCGCACTTGGTTCTGACCCTGCCACAAAGCCCACAGCAAAAATCCACCAGGCCAGATGTTTGAGTGTCACTGAGTTCCACTTTAGGGGGTCTAGAGCGGGCCTCAGGGGAGTGACCTGTGAACTCCAGCCCCTGAACATCTTCCCTGAGTTGCCAGACGTGGCTTCAGATCAAGGTAAGACTTGAGCGAGCCTCTAAGACCCCATCTCCTGAACTCACCAAAACCCACAATGGCCAGAGACAAACAAAAACATTTACTTAAGATCCACAGGAAAAAAAAATAAGTAAAGTAAAGCAAAACGGAAAATGGGATACCAGACAAAATGTCCGTTATGGAAGAAAAAAAGGTTCTTGTAGATTTTGTTTTCACTCAGTTAAAAGATCCATAGCAGCACCCAAGCAGGTTAGGAAGTATCAATGAACATCATGCGAGATCATTCACTCAGAAAATAGGGCAACCTCAAGAAGAAAAGAAGAAATCCCAGCTTGCTCCAAATCCCTTAGTTTCCTTGCTCTCTTTTTTCTTCGGTTTAGCCTTCACAAAATTAGAAACACATTTTCCGCAAAGGAAAAAAAAAAAAGAAGCAAAAACTTTATGCTCTCCCCCCAAAAAATGTTGCAAGCAAGAGAAGGCAGCTCACTTTGAAAAAGACTGGCAGCACCTGCTCAAAGTGAGTTTCTTCAGAAAATCAAGGCAGAGTTCCCCTTCTTTTTCTCCTCCAGTAGTCTTAAAGAGCGTCCAGTGGAATGAGACCATAGTTAAATCCGCAGCTCATTTGCATGTGCGGCAGCCTGCAGTCGACTGCGTGATCGCACCTGTTAAGTTGTGCCAAGCAGCGCGAGCCGTTCTCCATCTAGAAATCTCAGCTCGCTGTGAGAACGAGCGACGGCAGCGACAGCACCTGAGAGCAGCCCTGGGCAGAACACGCGCGCACACTCAGGCAGCATAAGCAGCCTCGTTCCAGAAGATGTGCGCAAGAGGAAGATGGGAGAGAGGAGGAGGAGGAGGAGAAGCAGGAGGACAGAGGGAGGGGGAGTCTCAGCAGCCAGCCAGGAAGCCGGATGGAGAGTGGCTATGCAAATGGGCAGCGTTCACATAGCGAATCACTAGAGCTTGAGTGCATTGCAGAGGAAGAGCTTATTTAGTCGGAATAGCAGAAATTGAAGCTATATGTCCCCGAGCCCTGATTCCTTTTACCGTCCATCCCTACTCTTTTCAGTTCAGCTTTTTTTTTTTTAAGTCACTCTCCCGTGTGGACTTTCTCCAAAAGGGGGGAGAAAAGATGAAAAAAGAAAGTACAAACTGGATTTTTGTGCATCTACTTTTGACATCTTTTCTTTGTTGGGTTTCTCCTTCTCTCAGTTTGAGTTCTGTCTTTTGACCTTTTTCTGACGATCTGATTTTTTTCTGTTGTTTGAATTTGAATAAAATAGACCGCAACTGAATTAATTTTCCTGTATCGTCTCGCAGAACTTCCTCCTATAATGTCTCGTCTATTCTGCAGTGTATCGTTAGCAAAATTTGAAAGAAAAGATGATGTTGCAGCTCATATAGTCTGAGCAACTCTCTCTCTCTCTACACTACTCCCTTCTAA